CATCGAACCCTCCTGTATGGTCATGCCATCCTGCTGAAACACACCCACTCCAGCATGGTGAGTACATTTGCAGTTACTGTGGTTGCTTTTCCATCATATCGTCTTCTTAAAGCTGATTGGAAGTGTTATCTCTGTCTTTCCACTTCAGTACTTGAGCTGTTTGACTACGTCGCGCTCACTGACAGACAAACTGGCTTTTGATGTGGGCTTGCAGGAAGACTCCACAGGTGACTACGAACATTTTTGCTCAACATGTCCATCAGACTCCGATGTAGGTTTTTTTTTTTTTTTTAATCTGTATATCCATTACAGGAGAGGCCTGCTGGTGGACCATCCATCCAGCCTCTAAGCAAAGGTCTGAAGGAGAGAAGGTCAGAGTGGGAGATGACCTCATTCTTGTCAGTGTTTCTTCAGAGCGATACCTGGTAACCACGACTGCGTTTACTTGCATCAAAAGTCAGAGCTTACAGTCTGTATTACTAATATTACCATCTGCACTCTTTGCAGCACCTGTCCTATGCCAGTGGTGATTTAATGGTAGATGCTTCCTTCATGCAAACTCTGTGGACCATGACCCCTGTAATGTCTGGATGTGAACTAGCTGAAGGTATGTAATTTTCTTTCTGCTAAAAATAAAACAAAACAATAAACCTAACCCTAACCTAGCTCTTTGTCTCTAGGTTTTCTGACTGGAGGATATGTGCTCCGGCTGTTCCATGGTCACATGGACGAGTGTTTGGCAATCCCAGCAGCTGACCAAGGGGACGACCGGCACAGGTGACCAGTGTCTTTCATGGCAGTACATGCAATCCGATATTAACTACATAAATACCAAATACTCATAGGTTTTAATTGTTTTAGCTTTACATGTCTGTATTTCTGTCACAGACTTTAGGGCTTGCTGTTTTTTAGTAGCGTGTGGCGTTATAAGACTATATTATATATTGAAAGCCCCAACGTGGGTCTTTCTTATGGCTAATGTTAGCTAACATTGTCTCTCCTGCTAAGACTGATGAACTGCTAGCTTCACAGGATAGCAGCTAGCTAGCTAACATTGTTGGTAGAAAAATATTATTTGTATTGAGCTTTTGGCCATATGTGAAGTTTTGCTTGTCATCCATTGCTTCGTCTTTGACAGATGGTCAATCCAGGTTCTGGTTGCCTAGGTAATCCTCTTACTACCCAGCCAAATGCCAATCAGTGGTATCCTGTGTTCTTATTGGTAGCCTCTTAAATTGCTGGTCTCAAAGTTGACCAAAAATGTAAATACAGACTGCCTATCTCCCGTCGCTGACTTTCAGTGGTCTTTGGTTGCATTTTCACTGCTAGTTGCTTCCTGTGTGGATGCCCCTTTACAGTCTATTATGTGCTGGAAAAAGCTTTTGTTGTTAGGGAGCTGCTTTTAGGGTACTGGGGCAAGGTATTGATGAGTAGGAATAAATGTGGCATCCATTGTATAGGCAAATTTGAGCACCTTTAATATAAATCAGTCCACAGTCAGTCAGAGGAAACTTGGATTGTGGGAACTTTAGTCAGTTTTAACATTTCTCTTTAAGTGTAGTTTTTACGTGTTGGCAATAGTAAAACATTTACATGAAAAATGCTTCATAGTACACTTTAAAATTGCACTATGAAGTCAAGACTGCATTGGTCTGGACTTATGATCTTTGATCTTGAAATGATTTTGTAAAGCTCTTAAACTGTCATACTGTGCACATGAACTAAAATGATTGCTGCATATAAGAAAAATCCTAATATTTTGGAATTTTCAAGCTTGAAATTTCCTGATGCACATTGCACATCATTGACTGGCATGTTTTTTTCCAGAGTTGCTCACTATGAAGGAGGGCCAGTATGCAGTCATGCTCGATCCTTATGGAGACTTGAGCCACTACGTATTGCGTACGTATGATGATTCCCTCGCAGGAATGACTTCATGTTGACGGAATGACTAGAGTGACTTCATGTTGTGGCTGATGCTCATTTGTGTGTGCCCGTTGGTAGTTGGAGTGGAGGCCACATTAAGTGGGGCCAGTCTTTCCGGATACGTCACATAACAACAGGCCGATACCTTTGTCTGGATGAGGAGAAAGGACTTCTCTTGGTGGACCCAGAGAAGGCAAATTCCAAGATGTCAGCTTTCTGCTTCAGGATTTCAAAGGTCATTGTACAAAGTGAAATCTATAAAAGGCAGTGTCTGTCTCTCAGCACAAGTGTAGATATTCATAACAGTTTTAAAGGGAACACTTTTTATTTAAACTACAGGAAAAAATTGAAGTGACCCAGAAACGAGATGTGGAGGGCATGGGCATACCTGAGATCAAGTATGGAGAGTCCATGTGCTTTGTACAGCATGTTTCATCTGGCCTGTGGCTTACATATGCTGCTGTTGATGCCAAATCTGCACGTCTAGGTCCTCTGAAGCGAAAGGTAAAGCAGAAAGCATTTACTCTTCTATTTATGAGTGTTGAGTATATACTTATGTTTGAAGAACACCCATGTTTGATTCGTAGGCCATACTCCACAAAGAAGGTCACATGGATGATGCCCTCACGGTTGCTCGATCTCAGACTGAAGAGTCTCAAGCTGCCAGGATGATTTACAGCACAACAGGCCTCTTCAACCAGTTCATCAAGTAGCATTTTATATGTTATTTCAATCTTTTATATTAGTCATTTTCTTGTTTTTTTTTAAATTATATGTCATATTTGTTGTGGTATTCTCATGTCTTCTGTATTTTCTTTATGTTCCCAGAGGACTTGATGCTCTAAGTGGAAAAAATAAATCTGCCAATGCCCCGTCTCTGCCTATGGACACAGTGGTGCTCTCGTTGCAGGATCTCATTTTCTACTTCCGACCCCCTGAAGAGGAACTGGAGCACGAGGACAAGCAGTTCAAGCTCCGCTCCTTAAAAAACAGACAGAACCTTTTTCAGGAAGAGGTTAGTTTGGATAATGAGAACTCACTGTTCATGAGAACAGCTGAATTCTGGATTAACATTTTATTTGATAGATTTAATTTTTGGTCATTGCTTTTATTTCGGTTTTGATTGCTGTAACAGGGAATGATTACGCTTGTTCTGGACTGCGTTGATCGCCTCAATGTGTACAACACAGCAGCCCATTTCTCAGAGTATGCTGGGGAAGAAGCTGCTGAGTCATGGAAAGAGATTGTGAACTTACTGTATGAATTGCTAGGTATGTGCAGATGATGGTTTATTTCACTCATTCACTGTTTTCATTAGTGTTACCACATCTGGACACTTTTCTTGTTTGTGAGTCTGTTGCATTTCTAATCTTTTCTTTGATCAGCTTCTTTGATCAGAGGTAACCGTGCCAACTGCGCCCTCTTCTGCGACAACCTTGACTGGCTGGTCAGTAAACTGGATCGTTTGGAAGCATCTTCAGGTATCTAGGACATGAATCTGTTTATTAGCTGATGGAAACTGGTTTTGTTTTATAACGACAGAGGGTTGATAAAACTGAACTTATTGTGCTGTATTCATTTTCATTATTATTTTTTTTCTGAGAACATATGCATTTACTGTGTTGGTCTTCTGCAATTTAATATAAAGCCCAAAACTTTACAGTGTATTCATATATTGTCATATTTTTTTACGAGAATAGGAATCCTGGAGGTTTTATATTGCGTCCTGATTGAGAGTCCGGAGGTTTTGAATATTATTCAAGAGAATCACATCAAATCAATCATCTCTCTACTGGATAAGCATGGACGCAATCACAAGGTCAGAAACGCTGCAACGATGTTTTCTGAGCATACTGCAAAAACCTGCAGCATGTGAACTTATTGCTCTCGACATACTTACTGTATAAAATGCAGTGAGTCTTCGATTCTATAAACCTTTTCCTGACAGGTCTTGGATGTGCTTTGTTCCCTCTGTGTGTGTAATGGGGTCGCTGTAAGGTCAAATCAGAATCTCATCACAGAGAATCTGTTACCAGGACGTGACCTTCTACTTCAAACTAACATCATCAACTATGTAACCAGGTGGGTCAGATTATAGTGAATGTTTCATCTTTGTTGATTTCACCAAAGTATCGAAACAACTCCTCTGACTCCTCCTTTATTGTAATCTTACCTCAGCATGAGACCCAATGTTTTCCTTGGAACTTGCGAAGGATCCACTCAGTATAAGAAGTGGTATTTTGAGGTGATGGTGGACCACGTAGAGCCGTTTCTCACAGCTCAGCCATATCATCTCCGTGTAGGTTGGGCTCTGACAGAGGGTTACAGTCCTTATCCTGGCGGAGGAGAAGGCTGGGGGGGTAACGGGGTTGGAGATGATCTCTACTCTTATGGTTTTGACGGGCTTCACCTCTGGTCAGGTAAAATCTACTGTGGTTTATGGTAAATGTACACAGGATTGTTCCTTTCCCTTCCAGCCATTGTTCATGTTGTATTTTGACTTCCAGTTGCCCGATCCTTGTTTACTTAAAATTGCCTTATTTCTAATCTTTTTCATAAACATTTTGGTAGATTGTTCTTGGATATTAATAGAAAGTTTCCAAATAAGCTTCCATTTTGGTTTTCTCTTAAAATCCAAGAGGACTCTCCACAAGGCTTTTATTTGTGCAGTCATGTGCAGCTCCTTATAGGAGTGGAAGAACACCATTCAGTTGTCTCTCTGGTGGCACTCCTATCAAGAGTCTAATGAAAGGAAGCAGCTTAATCCCTTATGTCTAAAAACATCCCCATACACACACTTTCAGAAGTTTTTTGCATCTTCAGCACCAACTCTTGTGCAGACTTTTGCTGATTAGTCTTCTGTATGAATTTCGGAAATAGTAAACTGTAAAATATAATTTTACTCGCTTTATGTGTCTGCAGGACGTGTTCCACGTCATGTCGCCACAACAAATCAGCACCTCCTGGCAGCAGAGGATGTGGTCAGCTGCTGCTTGGATCTGAGCGTGCCCAGTATTTCCTTTCGTATAAATGGCCATCCTGTTCAGGGAATGTTTGAGAACTTCAACCTAGATGGACTGTTCTTTCCAGTTGTGAGCTTCTCTGCAGGCATAAGGTAGGATATTGTGCATTTATCGAGTAGATATTATGATTTTATTTATTAATAATTGCATTATAGGTATTTAAATAATTGTTTTGTAAACTAACTACTGTCATTTTTTTCCCCCAAAAGACTGCGATTTCTTCTTGGAGGTCGTCATGGGCATTTCAAGTTTCTCCCACCTCCAGGCTACGCTCCGTGCTATGAAGCAGTGCTACCCAGGGACCGTTTGCGGATCGAGCCCATCAAAGAGTATAAGCAGGATTTTGATGGCGTCCGGAATCTGCTGGGTCCAACTCAGTCCCTTTCACATACAGCCTTCACACCTTGTCCAGTAGACACTATACAGGTAAAATCCAGTTTTTACTGCTTTCATTTTCTTTTCTTCATGCTGTGCTGATTTTTTTGAGTATCATTTCAGATTGTGCTTCCACCTCATTTGGAGCGCATTCGAGAAAAGCTCGCAGAAAATAGCCATGAGTTATGGGCTGTTACCCGCATTGAACAAGGGTGGACGTATGGACCAGTGAGTGATTCGGTCCTGGTTATGGTTCCCACAGAACATATTGTTGTATACATCAGCTGTTTTGTTTTAAAAATCTTTGCACTTTTTGTTGTTAAAAGTTTCGTGACGATAACAAGAAGCTGCACCCCTGCCTGGTAGATTTCCAGAGTCTGCCTGAACCTGAGAAGAACTATAATTTAGCAATGTCTGGAGAGACACTGAAGTACGGTGGATTCTTCACTTAATTAACAGCACTGGGCTTTCATCTGTTTGTGTTTCTAATGTTTTGTGTGATTCATTTCACAGGACTCTGTTGGCACTAGGCTGTCATGTAGGAATGGGAGATGAGAAAGCAGAAGAGAATCTCAAAAGGACCAAACTCCCTAAAACGTGAGCTACAAAAACATTAATAACCTTAACTCATGAAGTTATTTTTATAACAATCTGTAAAGGCTCTCCAGGACCCATTTTGATCACATAGCATTGTTAATTAGGTACATGCAGAGTAACGGATACAAGCCGGCCCCTTTGGACCTTAACCATGTCAAGCTGACTCCTAATCAAAACACTCTAGTGGAGAGACTGGCAGAAAATGGACACAATGTTTGGGCAAGAGACCGAGTCCGCCAGGGATGGACATACAGTATTGTCCAGGTACCACCATTCTTTCTATGGAGTCACAAAAATGATAATCATCATTATCATCATACTAGTATGGTTGTAGCATATGTCTCCTGATGTGTGTGTGTTCACAATCTCCTCCCAGACGAATAAATCAATCCTGATGCCAACATGTCTGTGGCATCTATTTTCAAATATTTTATAGAAATTCCAAAATCATTTATATTTGTGCACTTGAGAGATAAGTTGCAACAATTCTCCTAACTGACTCCAAATAAAATGCCAGATGTGTCACAATATAATGTTCCATATCATCGTACTATAATAGTCATAGCATATGCATGCTAGAATGCCCCCCTTCTCCCACGTGTAACACAGGGATTTACTAGTAATAATAATAAAAATAATTGAAATGTGTGTGATTATATTTTAATGTTTGGTATTATTTTTTTGTAAAGGACATTATGAACAAGCGCAATCCTCGTCTGGTTCCTTATAACCTCCTGGATGAAAAGACAAAAAAGACCAACAGAGACACGGTTTGTGCTGCTGTTCGCACTCTGATTGGTTACGGTTACAACATAGAACCACCTGATCAGGAGAGCAGTAAGTTTCCACCATTTAAAAGCAGTAAATCATGTTTTTAACGTCATCTTGGAAGATCCTTTATTAAAGAAATGTACAAGGTTTTTAATTGTTGACATATTCATTAGTGGGTTTGTGCTTTTATAGGTGGACATGGACCAGGCAGCTCCCGTGGAGATAAAATCAGAGTGTTCAGAGCAGAGAAATCTTACGCTGTTACACAGGGGAAGTGGTACTTTGAGTTTGAAGCTGTGACAGTTGGAGAGATGAGAGTGGGCTGGTCCAGGCCCAATGTTCGTGCAGACACTGAACTTGGTGCAGATGAGTTGGCGTATGTCTTCAATGGCTTTAAGGTGGGAGACCATAGTTTCTACACTATGATGGGTGCCTACATCTGTCTGGTATTAAACTACAAAGTTATAATGTTTTTAGGCCCAACGCTGGCACATAGGAAATGAGCCATTTGGCCGTCAGTGGCAATCTGGTGATGTGGTGGGTTGTATGATTGACCTCACTGAGATGAACATCATGTTCACACTCAATGGAGAAATGCTGATCAGTGATTCAGGCTCAGAGATGGCTTTTAAGGATATTGAGATAGGAGAAGGTAGGTACAATAAAAAGTGAGTACCTTTGCATGTGTATTCCATGTTTCATGTGTGTGTTCATGCATGTTTCCAACACCTCCAGGCTTCATACCTGTGTGCAGTCTGGGCCTGTCTCAGGTTGGCAGGATCAACCTGGGTCAGAACGTCAGCAGTCTTCGATACTTTACCATCTGTGGCCTACAGGAAGGGTTTGAACCATTTGCTATCAACATGAAAAGAGACATTACCATGTGGTTCAGCAAGAGCCTTCCCCAGTTTATTCCTGTCCCAGCTGATCATCCTCACATTGAGGTACTGTACATCACCTGTTACAATGATTTGTTTCCACGCTGAATACGTAATTTTAAGATCACAGTCAAGACCTGTTTGTCTGTGCACTAGGTGTCACGCGTTGATGGGACAGTTGATACCCCCCCTTGTATTAAAGCGACCCACAAGACATTTGGATCTCAGAATGCCAACACAGATCTGCTCTTCTTCAGACTCAGCATGCCAGTTGAGTTTCATGAGACTTTTAAAATCCCAGCAGGGACCACTCTTCTTACTCGCACTTTGACCATCCCTGAGGATGAAGTGTTGGAGGTGGATCCAGGCTCTGATTTTGAAATACTCAAAAAGTCTGCTACTCGCAAGGAGCAGGAGGAAGAGAAGAAGGAAACCTCAGTTCCTAAAGAGACGCCTGCTATCAAAAATGGAGAAAACGAGAAGGATGCCTCCACTGAGAAAAGCAAAAAGAAAGGGTATGGAATCACATAGCACCCCTTTAGAAGTGGATGTGTCAAATCTATCGATTGGATACTGTGTTTGTGAGCGGTAGTGTAATTACTGTTGTTCTTTGCAGTTTCCTTTTCAAGGCTAAAAAGGCAGCGTTAATAACTCCAACCCCTGTTGTACCCACCATGCCCCGCTTAGTGGAAGATGTAGTACCAGATGACAGGGATGACATGGACATCATCCTCAATACCACTACAGTATGTCTGAACTTATTATATTCATTAAACATATAAAGTTCATGCCTAAACTTGCCATTTATGGCGCTACTGCCAGTTTGTAATCATTAACAAACTATATAAGAAAACTGCCTTTTTTAACAGCGATGATCAGTGATTTTCACATTAATTAATTTTTGTGTGCTTCTTTTTCTCCTTCGTTCACCAGTACTATTACTCAGTACGAGTGTTTGCTGGACAGGAGCTAAGTGGCGTGTGGGTTGGCTGGATAACACCTGACTATCACCAGTACGACCCTCATTTTGATATCAGCAAAGTCAGAAATGTAACTGTCACTGTAGGTGATGACAAAGGCAACATTCATGACAGGTATGTTACTTATGGAAAGACCCCACCACCCCCCCAAAAAAGCCTGTGTTTCCAGTTGAATATGATAAACATACACAACTGGTTTCTTGGTTCTTCTTTGTTTTTACAGTATCAAACGCAGCAATTGCTATATTGTATGGGGAGGGGAGTTCAGTAGCTCCCAGCAGACCCGAGTCAGTCAGGAGGATTTTGTGATTGGCTGTCTCATTGATTTGGACACTGGACTAATGACTTTCACTGGAAATGGAAAAGAGATCAATACATTTTATCAGGTTAGATAATTTTCAGTCTGATATTATGCCTTCCTCTTGCTTGTATATATTGTTGTTTATTCCTGCTGTCTTACTATTCATATAGACATGGAGCACCCACAATTTCATTGTACATGGACAATGACAATAATGAGCTATTCTATTTTATTCCTGGTTAAATTCTGTATTCGTAAATTATCTTCCTTCAGGTGGAGCCAACCACAAAATTGTTTCCGGCTGTCTTTGTTCTGCCTTCCAGTCAGAATATGATTCAGTTTGATTTAGGCAAGCTCAAGGTCAGTCGCAAAGAATTGCTGCATTTAATCAACCTTCAAAATAGGAAATACAGTTTCCAGTTATCGGCTGTGTTGTGTAACAGCCTTTCTTCTTAATGCCTCATTTGTCTTGCTAGAACATCATGCCGATCTCAGCCGCAATGTTTCGGAGTGAACGCAAAAATCCAGTCCCCCAGTGTCCTCCTAGACTGGATGTCCAGATGTTAACTCCAGTTATCTGGAGCCGAATGCCCAACAACTTCCTAGCTCCAGAGATGGGACGTGTTAGTGAGAGACTAGGCTGGATGGTGGAGTGTACGGAGCCACTCACTATGATGGCCCTTCACATCCCCGAGGAAAACAGGTCAGCATCTCTGCTGTATTCATCTTTTATTCTTAGAAGATGCTAAGATGTGTTTTTTTCAGCAAATCTCTTTACTTTAAATAGGTGTATTGACATCTTGGAGCTGTCTGAACGGATGGATTTGCTGAAGTTCCACTACCATACTCTGAAGCTATACAGCTCAGTTTGTGCACTGGGAAACAACCGTGTGGCACATGCTTTGTGCAGCCACGTGGATGAATCGCAGCTCTTTTACGCCATAGAGAACACCTACCTACCTGGACCAATGAGGAGTGGCTTTTATGACCTGCTCATCAGCATGCACCTGGAGTCAGCTAAAAGGAATCGTCTGGGGACCAACAAGGAATTCATAGTTCCAATGACAGAAGAAACACGTAGTATCACTCTGTACTCCGACAAGTCTCATGCTTTACCTGGCGTCGGCCTAACTACATGTCTACGTCCAAAACTTCATTTCTCTTCTGTTGGGTTTGTGGGAACAGATCAAGATATTTACACACTTAGTCCAGTCATTCCCTTACTGGTAAGACTGAGGTGTCTTTGCACTTAATGGCAACTCTGAATTTATTAATAATCACAATTTTACATGCTTTGTACTGTATATTATATACATTATACCTTACATTTAATCAACATATTGTATTTTTAGGTGCTAAAGACCAAAGCTCTAAACATGCTGACTGAGGCAGTGCAGGATGGAGGTCAAGCCATGAGAGATCCTGTGGGAGGCAGTGTTGAGTTTCATTTCGTTCCAATCCTAAAGCTCATCAGTACCCTTCTCATAATGGGTGTGTTTGATGATGAAGATGTCACACACATCCTAAAGATGATTGAGCCCACAGTCTTTAGAGGCAAGCAAGCGGAGGAGCCTGGTGAGGGGGATGCCAAGGTGCAAGAAGAGAAGGACCTTCCCAAAGTAGCAGCGATTAAAGAAGGGGAGCAGGAAGCCCTGGGGGAAGAAGAAGAGGAATTTGAGGATGATGGGTTGGGTTATGAAGAAGAAGAGGAAGAACTGGAGGAAGAAGAAGCAATAGAGGAGGGTGAATCTATTGTGCCACATGAGGAAACAGTGGTTGAGACAGACCCGGTAAATGGTGAGAAAGGAGCTGAGGAAACAGAGAAAGAGGTGAAACCTTTAGAGACGGGCGGGGAGGGAAAAGAAGAACATCTAGAGCAAGGACTTTTCCAGATGAAGCTACCAGAGTCTGTGAAACTACAGGTATGACAGTTTGTGTATTCAGAGGAACTCTCTTTCCGAATGCTTGATATCTAACTTTATTAATGCTGATTCACTTTGCTTTTGTCCTTTAGATGTGCACTCTGCTGCAGTATTTCTGTGACTGTGAGCTACGTCATAGAGTGGAGGCCATCATTGCATTTTCCGACCAGTTTGTCAACCAGATACAGTCCAACCAGAGGCAGCGCTACAATGAACTCATGCAGGCCTTCACCATGAGTGCTGCCGAGACTGCTCGCAAGACCCGTGAATTTCGTTCCCCACCACAGGAGCAAGTACGAAGAAAACAGAGTACATTTGTTAACTGTTAAACTGTATAAATAAATTCTAAAAATATTTTTTAAAAACTGGCTACATTTCTACACATTTTTCTTTGTCTGTGTTTTATTTCAACAGAAAAGTGGAAAAATAATTTTGCCTGATATAAAATGGACTTAGCTACTCATGTACTACCATGAAACATCCCTTAAAGTAAAAAAATGATCATACTTGCCTGTTTCTAACCTCACTGCAGGTCAACATGCTCATGAACTTCAAGAACTCTATTGAGGATGAAGAGTCCCCAATTCCTGATGAAGTCCGCGAATCTCTGGTTGCCTTTCACAATGCTTTGCTGACTCATTGTGGTCAGTTTTCACTTCCTGCATCAAGTGTGCATTGAAAAATTGTCCCTACCGTTACATTGACTTACTTAAAACATTGACCTCAGGTGTTCACATTGAAGAGGAGGAACAAGAGGAAGAAGTGGATAATTCTGTCCGTGGACGGCTCCTTCGATTGCTGGAAAGGGTAAAAAAGTTTCGTGAGAAGAAGGAGGAGGTGGAGTCTGAGCCACAAGAAGACAAAAAACCAAGTAAGCCTTTTTTGCTTTTAACAAGCAATTTAGTATTTATTACCAAGTTCAACATGTTTTAATGCAAAAACGATGATTATTGCAAATAACGATAACCAATTTGTGGATTTGTGGTCTGTCATTTGTCAGTAATGTATTTTATTAAAGCAGTTTTTCCCAGGAGTTTTATTGTATATATAGTATTGTCTTCCAAAATTAAATCAAACTAGGGCCACTTAAATACAAGACCATTCTCATTCTTACTTAACCTTCTGTCTTTTTGCACCAGGCACATTGCAGGAGTTGATTTCACATACTATGATCCACTGGGCGCAGGAGTCTTTTATCCAGAACCCTGAGCTCGTGCGTATGATGTTCAGCCTCCTTCACAGGCAGTATGATGGACTCGGTGAGCTCATGCGTGCCCTTCCTAAGGCCTACACCATCAATGCAGTTTCCATTCAGGACACCATGGACCTCTTGGAGTGCTTGGGCCAGATCCGCTCACTGCTTATTGTCCAGATGGGTCCAGAAGAGGAGAGACTTATAATTCAAAGCATTGGGTTTGATGACATTTAAATTTTCATTCTCATTTCTCAGTATCTTGCATTAAAATAAATGATTGATAGGTTTGTGTGATACAAGCTAAATTTAATTGGTCTTTCTTAGGAACATCATGAGTAACAAAGTTTTCTATCAGCACCCCAACTTGATGCGAGCTCTGGGCATGCATGAAACTGTTATGGAGGTCATGGTCAATGTACTTGGTGGTGGGGACTCAAAAGTATGTTTTTTAATTCATTCATCATCATTGTAAACATCTTCTTGTGGAAAGACAAATGTATAAAATAAATAAAATCTACTGCTTTATTTAACTTACTTCTTCTGTTACAGGAGATCAGATTTCCTCGGGTGGTGACAAACTGCTGCCGTTTCCTCTGCTACTTCTGTCGCATCAGTCGTCAAAATCAGCGTTCCATGTTTGACCATCTCAGCTACCTTCTCCAGAACAGTGGCATTGGCCTTGGTGATTGTCTTTGTTGAAATCCAATGTTAGTCTCGATGATTTCTTTCTCATACATGGACTGTGATAAACCTGGCCACTGCGTTTGTTGTATACTTTAGGAATGCGTGGCTCCACCCCCTTGGATGTGGCTGCAGCGTCTTGTATTGACAATAACGAGCTGGCATTAGCTCTTCAAGAGCAGGATCTTGAAATGGTAAAACAAAGTTTATCTGTTCAAAATTCTATAGCTTTTTAACCTGACTTGAATACACTCATAATCTTTCCAGGTAGTGAAGTATTTAGCCGGATGTGGACTTCAGAGCTGTCCAATGCTACTGGCTAAAGGATATCCTGACATCGGCTGGAATCCTTGTGGTGGAGAGAAATATCTTGACTTTCTTCGTTTTGCTGTTTTTGTCAATGGTCAGATTTTTTTTTTTCAACATTTCATTGTAACATTTCATTTTAATTTCCTCATTATTTCTGATTCTCGATCTTATCAATAACCTATAAGAACTATGGTCTCTATTTCTTGTAGGAGAAAGTGTAGAGGAGAATGCAAATGTGGTGGTGCGCCTCCTCATCCGTAGGCCTGAGTGCTTTGGTCCAGCCTTGAGAGGGGAGGGTGGCAATGGACTCCTGGCTGCAATTGAGGAGGCAATCAAAATATCAGAGGACCCTGCAAGGGATGGCCCTAGTGTTAAGAAAGATAGACGCTTTCCCATGTAAGAGCTTTTTGGCTTCATTGGAAGGATTTTATTATCCGCTCTAGTGTTGCAGAAAGATAGAGACATGTTTTTTACCGACAGGTTTGGAGGAGAGGAACAGCACGAGGAGAACAGGGTTCACCTGGGAAATGCCATTATGTCTTTTTACTCTGCTCTTATTGACCTGCTGGGAAGATGTGCTCCAGAGATGCATGTAAGCTGCCATGCTAAACGTATCCAAATGTTTTAGTTTTATAGAAAAAAAAAGTTTATAGTGTGTTTGTCTCTACAGTTGATCCAGGCTGGTAAAGGTGAGGCTCTCAGGATCAGGGCCATTCTGAGGTCTCTGGTCCCTATAGAAGATCTGGTGGGAGTCATCAGTCTTCCTCTTCAGATTCCAGCTTTTGGAAAAGGTGAAAATTCATAATAAATTAGTTATGTATTCAGTCAGTCAACAAATTATTCCAATAATGGACAACCAGTAAAACCATTACTGGTTTTACTGGTTGTCCTACATTGTACACAGCTGCTTGCTAATAGGTCCTTTCTCTCTGGGTTTTCAGTCATTTTAATTACTTTCCCCAAATGTTTTCTTCATGTTGTGCTTAGACAACAGCGTTATTGAACCAAAGATGTCTGCTAGCTTTGTGCCAGATCACAAGGCTCCCATGGTGCTGTTCTTGGACAGAGTTTATGGTATTGACAACCAAGATTTCCTTCTCCATGTGCTGGAGGTGGGCTTTTTGCCTGACATGAGAGCTGCTTCCTCCCTGGATACGGTAAGGCTCAAACAGTTCACACTGTTTTTGTTTGTTTCTCTGGGAACAATGGAAAGCTTATACAGACTAAGATAACTGCTAAGATTTCTTGTCAACAGGTTGCTTTTAGCACCACTGAGATGGCTTTGGCTTTGAACCGCTACCTCTGCTCAGCTGTGTTGCCACTCATCACCAAGTGTGCCCCGCTCTTTGCTGGCAGTGATCATCGAGCCATAATGATTGACTCCATGTTGCACACAATCTACAGGCTGTCTCGTGGACGAGCCTTCACAAAAGCCCAAAGAGATATTATTGAAGAGTGCCTCATGGCTCTGTGCAAGTGAGTTTAACATGATAGGATGCCTTACATGTCATTTAATACTGCCAGGTTTGGATTAGGTGTTAATGTATTTTTTCTTCAGGCATCTACGTCCATCTATGCTTCAGCATCTGCTAAGGCGGCTGGTATTTGATGTGCCCATTCTCAATGAGTATGCCAAAATGCCTCTAAAGGTATGAGGACCCTGTAAAATGTTTTCACTATTAACAGAATATTTTTCTTTTAGTTTAGCTGTTTCACTTTTGTTATGTTGCGCTCTGCAGCTTTTAACCAATCACTATGAGCGTTGTTGGAAATATTATTGCCTCCCTAATGGTTGGGCTAATTTTGGAGTTGCATCAGAAGAGGAGCTGCATCTTACACGCAAACTGTTTTGGGGGATCTTTGAATCACTAGCTCACAAGGTAACTCCTGCAAATTATTTTGCTTTTTCAGTTTATTAGTTGGCTTATTAAATGACAGCTGGGATGGGCTCCAGCTGCCCTAAATCCTGGATGGATGGATATTGTAATATTTTTTTATTGTGATTCCAGAAATTTGATGCTGAAATTTTCAAAATTTCAATGCCATGCATCTGCGCCATTGCTGGAGCCATTCCTCCTGACTATGTAGATGCCAGCTACTCCTCCAAGACAGAGAAAAAGGCATCAGTAGATGCAGAGGGAAACTTTGATCCTAAACCTGTGGATACAACAAAGTGAGGGGCTTTTTACTTTGCTAGAAATTAATCATCTCTCTGTTTTTTGTAGTTAAAGCTAATGTTACTCTGATGCTTCTTCCAACCATAGCACTATCATCCCTGAGAGATTGGATCCCTTTATTAACAGATATGCTGAATACACTCATGACAAATGGGCCTTTGAAAAGGTAAAGTTTTGTTTATAAGTCTTTAGCTAAATCTGGACCAACACATTAGGTTAATTTGATGCAGCTATACATTCACCAGTATATATAACTCTAAAGAAATACAAAGGGATCCTAGTAAGCATGACTGACAGCTGTAATTCATGCTGTATATGGCCATGTATGTTTCAGATTCAGAATAACTGGTCATACGGTGAGGCACTGGATGAAAATGCAAAAACCCACCCCATGCTTAGACCGTACAAGACGTTCTCAGAGAAGGTACGTTCACAGACATGCAGTGATCATCTTGAATCTTGATGTAGTGTGTGTATTTGTTTCTGCTCACACTGGCTTTTCTCAAAGGACAAAGAGATCTACCGATGGCCAATTAAAGAGTCAATCAAAGCCATGATTGCATGGGAATGGAACATTGAGAAAGCTAGAGAGGAGGAAGAGTCAGAGAAGAAGAAGGCAACATCACGAAAAATCTCACAGACTGCACAGGTATACAGTTGTTTAGAGCCCTTGACTGACTGCATTAATACTTAATAATAATGTTGCTTGTTGTACAGTAGAGTGCATAACAATCTTTCTGTTCTAGGCAACTTATGATCCAAGCCATGGCTATAGTCCACAGCCCATTGATATCTCCCATATGGCTCTTTCGAGAGATTTGCAGGTATGGGTTTAAAATGTTGCATCCTTCTATTTTGCAATCTTAGCATCTTACTAATATTTATATCTGCTTATAGTCAATGGCAGAACAACTGGCAGAAAATTACCATAACACCTGGGGAAGAAAGAAAAAGTTGGAGCTGCAAGCAAAAGGTGATTTTAGTTCTTTTGAGGGTGGAATATAGAGAAGGAAAGATTTGTCTTTTCCAAATAGTTCTGGATGTGCTTTTGTTTGTGCAGGAGGTGGAACACATCCTCTGCTCGTGCCCTACGATACCCTGACAGCTAAAGAAAAGGCACGAGACAGAGAGAAGGCATACGAGCTGCTGAAGTTCTTGCAGCTTAATGGATACGCTGTCACAAGGTAATAATAAAATAGTTGAGAATGGACAACATTGAACCTTGGTTCAAAATAAAGAAAATTTATCCAAGCTACTCAAAAGACTTTTTGAATCAGTAGTTCCTAAAAATGCATTGATTTGTATGGTATTACATGCAATAGCAAAGAGTTTGCTATTGCTGTTGCTAAAATTCAACTTTGTGGGGTTTTTTGGTGTAGATTGATAAAAATAATCGATAGGGCACGTGAGCATCCTTTGGCATACCAGAAAAAGTTTAACCACTGACTTCGATCTTCTGTCTTTTCAACATAAAACAAACATTAATTGCAGGCTTCATCTTGACTGAAATAAACTGATGCATAACAGCCTGACTGTATTATGATGTACGACCAAGAGCATGAGCATTATGAGCATTAATTCTTTCACTATAAGAAACCAGTATGGACATGGCATTATTGCGGCCTCCTTAAATAGTGTTTTATTATGGCACAAATTCTGAACAGGAAGTCTTTCATTGTTATTATATATCAATTTTTGAGATATAAACTCTCCCCAACTTTAGAGGCCTTAAAGACATGGAGTCGGACATATCATCCATTGAAAAGAGGTTTGCGTATGGTTTCCTTCAGAAACTGCTGAAATGGATGGAAATCGCACAGGAGTTCATCGCACATCTTGGTATTGTGGGGCAAAGATGAAAAATAGTGTGGTGTACATTCAATTTTTGCCACTGTGTCCGTGATATTGTATATTGCAATCTGTTTTACAGAGGCTGTGGTTAGCAGCGGACGAGTGGAAAAGTCTCCCCATGAGCAGGAAATCAAATTCTTTGCCAAGGTGAGACTATTGTGTGAATGTAAAATGTAAAATACTTGTACTTGTTATTTCTGTACTAAATGTGGAAAACCCTCTGAATTCTCTCTCTCAGATCTTGATGCCTCTAATAAACCAGTATTTCAAAAATCACTGCCTCTACTTTTTGTCTACACCTGCAAAAGTCCTGGGTAGTGGCGGGCATTCTTCCAATAAGGAGAAGGAGATGATTGCAAGGTGATGTCTCTGTTTTATAAATATGACACAGAAATATATATATTTGTATATCTTTTATTCAAATATTATGTTTCTCCTTTTATGAGCTTTTGATTTCTTCTTGAGTTTTCTTTTTCTTCCTTTTCCTTTTTTTCACTTTGTAGTATCTTCTGTAAAATGTCTGCTTTGGTGAGGCACAGAGTTTCTCTCTTTGGTAAGATGGCAAACTTGCAGCACCACTCTTTCTGAATCTTTTCTCTCTCTTCTCTGTTTATGTGTGTTTCTGTATTTTGTGAGCTGCAATGCACCATTCTGTCACCCGGGTTAGCCTAAATGCCATTGCTCCATGTTTTTATGGATATACAGTAGCTGATGATGTGGATTTATTTCTATATTTGCAGGAACGGATGCCCCAGCAATTGTTAACTGTCTTCACATTCTGGCTCGATCACTGGATGCAAGGTTTGTTTGTTTTTTTAATAACACTATAAAACTGTATTATAGTTATTTTTCATGTTTTTCCTTTTACCTTTTGTGTTTGCCTCATTAGGACGGTAATGAAGTCAGGACCTGAGATTGTTAAAGCAGGGCTACGATCGTTCTTTGAGAGTGCTGCTGATGATATTGAGAAGATGGTTGAAAATCTCAAATTGGGCAAAGTTTCGAAAGGCAATCAGGTACATGATGTTTAATATGGGCATTCACAAATTAGAACTCATATATCCAAGTCCATAATCATATGCTGCTTCTCTTTTTTCCAGCAAGTGAAAGGCGTCTCTCAGAACATCAACTACACCACCATTGCACTGCTCCCAGTACTTACCTCCCTGTTTGATCACATTGCTCAGCACCAATTTGGAGATGATGTCATCTGTGAGTGCTTATTCATGCTTTATATTCCATCCATCTGTTCTTTTAACCACTTATCCAATTCCAGTGACCAATTCAAGTGACACTGGACAGGTTGCCAGTCTATCACAGGACTACTAAAGAAAGACAGACAACTAATCACCTACAGCCACTTTAAACTCTTTTTTGGATAGTGATAGGAAATTAAGACAAAACTCACGCAGGCCAAGGGAGAACATTCAGACTCAACATGTGTTTTGTAGCCTCGTTGTTATTCATTAATAATTCAGACACTCTCGGTCTCTCTGTGTTTTTGCATACAGTGGATGATCTGCAGATGTCATGCTATCGGATCATGTGCAGCATCTACTCCCTGGGGACAGTGAAAAATCTACATGTTGAGAGGTGACTCCATATTTTTTAAGATGTAAAGTAATTTACTACTGATCATTTTGGAGCATTTGCTGCACTCGTTCTTTTGCCTTTACAGGCAGAGGCCAGCTCTTGGAGAGTGTTTGGCACACCTTGCAGCAGCTATGCCGGTGGCCTACTTAGAACCCCATCTAAATGAATTTAATGCTTTCTCTGTGTACACCACAAAGACTCCCAGAGAGAGAGCCAGTGAGTGCAATACTGTTGTCACACTTTTTTTTAAATCTAGTAAAGTCTTGTTTTTGAATTATCTTTCAATATTTCTCTTCTGGATTAAAGTCTTGGGCCTTCCCAATGAGGTCCAGGAATTATGTCCAGACATCCCAGAGCTGGATACTCTGCTGAAGGAGATTGGGGACTTGGCAGAGTCGGGGGCTCGTTACACTGAGATGCCTCATGTGATTGAAATTACTTTACCCATGCTTTGTAACTACCTCATTCGCTGGTGGGAGAGAGGACTTGAAAATTTTCCTGAGATGGAGGGCCGACTGTGCACCGAGGTCACGTCAGAACAACTTAATCAGCTGCTAGGAAGCATCATGAAAATTGTAGTGAACAACCTGGGAATAGATGAAGCCTCCTGGATGAAGAGATTGGCTGGTGGGAGCTGTTTTAAACTCTGCTCACATACCAGTGTTTTTTTGGTTTCCTCTGCAAGGAAGTTAAAACCAGTTCTTTTCTCCACTAGTGTTTTCACAGCCCATTGTTAGCAGAGCAAAGCCAGAAATGCTTAAGTCTCACTTCATCCCAACTATGGAGAAACTAAAGAAACGCACATCAAAGGTGGTGGCTGAGGAGGACCATTTAAGGATGGAGGGAAAATCAGAGGGAGATGAGGAAGATGGCACTATACGTGATGAGTTTGCTGTCCTCTGTAGAGACTTGTATGCCCTTTACCCTCTACTTATTCGCTATGTGGACAATAACAGGTAGAATAATGTTACAGTCACCAAGCTATGAATCCTGCCTCATATTGACAAAATTGCAATATATAAATCTTTTTATATATTGTTAATTATCAAAACTTGTGATAAAGAGAGTTTAGCCTTATAATAATTTATTCTGCTACAGAGCGAGGTGGCTGACATGTCCTGACCCAGATGCAGAAGAGCTCTTCCGAATGGTTGGAGAAGTCTTTATTTTCTGGTCCAAATCTCATGTGAGTATGTTCACTTGGCCTTTTTGTTTGCAAGCGTTTATAAAAACTTAATCCATCCAATAATTATGCTTCTGTTTCTCTCCTGCAGAACTTCAAGCGAGAGGAACAAAACTTTGTGGTGATGAATGAGATCAATAACATGTCATTCCTCACCGCTGACAGCAAGAGTAAAATGAGCAAGGTGAGTTAGTGAAAGGCTGCACATGCCAGTGTAGACCACATGTCAAATCAGGCAACTTTAGGACATATTGTTTAACAACTGTATGTCTTCCTTCCCTTGTGGCAATATTTTATGGTATAATTTGAAGATTTCATGACATTACCAACCAGTTTCAGTCACTTATAATTGGTCATTTAATAAGCATTTTGTTATTCTTAGCATAATGGTAATAGCTTTAGGGAAAAAAAATTATTTGAAAGCCGGGGAAGCAGTCTAATACAAAAACACACTTACGCACCATTTTTTGTTTTTTGGTCTTATTTAAACATAGTGAAAGCTGCTGTAACCTCTTTGAGATTTGATTTTTAATTCAGATCTTTGCGAAGGCTCGCAGTTGTGTTAATGATATTCTCTCTTTGGCTGTCCATTGTTCTCTTCTTTTGTGTTGCGGCTGGGTTTCCAGGGCGGGGACACAGAGGTTAGACTTTGTTTTTGCACGACCGCTGTGCTGACCGCATGGCACCTCACTTTGGGGGAGCTTTTCATCAACCTCCCCAGCACACTGGCACATCTGATCCACACAAGTACACTCACTACATATCCACAAACACATGTGAACACACGTAACTTGTGTACACAGAAACACACAAAAAAATCCTGCAGATTTTAATCATCGAGATGTGGAATTAATTCACTGCCACTGACAAGGGCCTCTATGTGTAGTTGTTTCTGCAAAGTCTTGATTTGCAGCCTCTTAGCGATGAAGCAAAACTGGTGTGAATTTATTACTACACATATCTGGTCATTTATATATAATTAAAAGTCAAGGTCTTAGCCATATATTTCATTATTGATTGGTTTGGATACACTTACACTGGCATTAACTTTATTATATTGCGATTTAAGTCTACACTGACACAATGTCAGTACAATGTACAATATCTTACACAAAATCATTCATTTATATTGTATCTCTTCATAGACTTTAGTGCAGAATTGTTCATAAGGGAAGCTGGGAAAATATACTCATATAGTTCTCATAAAGGATCACTGGACTAATGGGCAGGCCCCACCTGCGGGCTTTCCCCAGTCCTGCCAGTGTGTGTGGGGGGGAGTCTGGAGGCGTTTGATGAAAGTACTCAGCTGTACAGTTCGGCTCATGGCACTGGGCTTTACACAAATATCAAAGTGGAAGTGGGAGCACAGTGCCATCATGCTGTCACTGAGTTTGCTCTTTTTTGATCATAGCTGAGTTGGAGTCTTCTAGTATGCCTTTTGTTTCACTTCATGGAAGATGGTTTAGCTGTAGGTATTTGTAATGTAGCATTTTGTCCACTAGGGGATGGTGTTAGTCTTCTCTGTGCTCTTTCTTATCTCCTCCCTTAAAATGCCATGGTACATCATTGTTTTAGTTTTTTTTATGCTCCCTAGTACCCACACTAACACACAGCTTGACGCTAAATGTTACTGAAGCAGATTTACTGAAACATTTGTTAGGTTCTCTTTTTAAAAGTGCTCAAAGTACCATGAACCTAACCAACATATTAATTCACACTTATTTCCTAAAATATTCCCCAAAACACTTTGCATCCTCTAAACTACTTCACCATAACAAACATACACCTTACACTTAGAGGTTTTTTATTTCATTAAAAAAGAAAAAAATCTGGGACCACTTTAATGTCTAACCGTGATGCCTCAGCAAAACCCCTTTAATAAAAAGATTTAAGCTTTTATGTATAGTACTGTGCAAAAGTCCCGAGCCACCCCTCAGTTCTATGTATTTTGCTAGGAAAATAGGTGATTAATATATGTGTAAACATGGAAATACAGTTTATAGGGCAAAAAAGTGTGCAATTCTAACAAGCTTGAAAATCCATATTTGACATGACCACCTTTATTCTTCAACACAGCCTGAACTCTCTTAGGCAAACCTTTTTGTCATTTCTTTAATTAGTCTTCAGGAATAGTTCTCCAGGCTTCTTGAAGGACATTCAAAGCTCTTGTTTGGATGTTGGCTGCCTCTTTGTTCCATTCTCTATCAAGATGATCCCACATTGCTTCAATAATGTTGAGATCTGGGCTCTGTTGTGCCTCTCTCCTGACCTCTATATGCATCTACATACAATAGATTGATTAACTGAAGGATAAAATGCATCTCTCAGGTCCTGTGTCAGCTCTTTGCTGAATGTTTTCCTATTTCTTAAGGACATGACATTTACATAGTGTTATTATACAGTAGATACAGTGGGGCAAAAAAGTATTTAGTCAGCCACCGATTGTGCAAGTTCCCCCACTTAAAATGATGACAGAGGTCAGTAATTTGCACCA